TTGAGGTCCGTGACTGGCCCAGAGCACACTGGAGAAACTAAAAACTGTCTTTCCTCGTCACGCCCCACCCCCGCCCCAGACGACCCCCGCCCCCACCACCACCACCACCACCATTGGCCCCATCACAAGTGTCTCCACAGACTCCTGGACAATTTCGGCAAGTCCAAGCCCAGGCTCCGGGCGCGAGGGAAACACACCCATCCAAAAGGAACCATCTTAGATCTGATCAAGACAACGGGGCATCTTAAATCTGATCAAGACCTCCGGGAAGGGGCGTGCCCATCACGGGCCCGGTCTCCCCAACTTCTCCTCTCCTCTGGTCCTGCTCGGTTCTCTGCAGGAAAATCAATCGTGCACTTCACACTTAAAGACATTTTGCAGCCGGTCCACCTCGGTGGCTGCCTTGCCCGCTCGGCGGCGGGCCCAGCCATGACACGGGCGCCGAGCTCCCCCTAGCTGCCGCGCGCCGGCCGGCGGGCCACCAGCCTCGGCCCTGCAGCCACAGAAAGTTTATTTTGGAAAGTGCCTCATCACGACAAGCACCCGGCGAAGGCGCACTCACAGGACGGAGGAAGGAAGGGATAGGAGCAGAGACGTCGGGGTGACAGCCGGGGCTGCCCCGTCCCGCTAGGGCAGGCGTGAGAATGGTCACTGCAGGAATACGGGAATCTGTTGGCTGACACCGCCTCTCTCCCACCTGAGACTGAGTTCTGATGACTGCCCATGGCCAGAGCAGCCTTCCCTGCAGTGTCCAGGGCCCACTTGGTCTTGCACAGAGGTACACACACACACACACACACACACACACACACACACACACAGACCCCAACCAACCGCGACCCCGGCGTCCGTCCGGATCTCTAGGCTGTACTTCTAGGCCAGTTCACCAGAACCAACCACGCTCGCTCACACGACTCCTATTCCCACTGGGAAGTAGTTTTCCCCAAGCCAGATTGCCCCCGCCCCAAAAAATGAACAGGACAAAATCCGGGCCATCAGAAACCTCCCCCAGTCCCGGCAAAGGCATGTGTGCACGGACATAATATTTGAAACCACGGGTGTCCCCAGAAAAAGGGGACCCTTTCAAAATAGCAGGGGGTTGTTAAAATCCACCCAGGGCTGTTTCCCCTCGGGTGGGGATGGCCGATGAATCGGAGCAGCTTCCTGGAGCGGCTCGGAGGATTTCTCTCTCCTCCCCTGGACCCAGAGAGCCCGGCTCCACGCACACGGCTGCCTCCTGTGGAAGAAACACTCCGACTTCACAGCCCCCTAACAGGTCCCTAAAACGGAGAGACAAAAGAGGCACCCAGGTCTCCGGGGCCCCCTGTGGAAGGCAGGCGAGGTGAACTATCGGAAGCCCCTTCCCTGGAGAGGGCCAGGGGGTTTTGCGGGCAACCCCGGCCAGGCAGCCGTGCAGGAACAGCTCGGCCAAGTTCCATCACCAGGGCTGGGGCACTCGCCGAGCACGCGTGTACCCCTACAGGCAACCACGCGTGTCCCCAGGAAACCTGTTGGAGGGGTGAAGAAGCCACCTTCCTGCAGGCGCGTGGGGGTGGCTGACCGGCCATGTCTCACTTTCTTCCCAAAGCCCCCAAGTTCCACCTTGGGCTGGAGGTCACGACCCTCTCTCCTCTCTCTTCTGATGTCCCCAGGAGCTCATGCCGCCCTCCCTGCCCTGCGCTGGGCCCTCCCCTCTCCACGGGGCCCCGTGTTCTTCTGTGTCTGTTTTGATGAACAGTCAGGCCTCAAAAGCCAGGTGCCTCTGGGTGAAATCTTCTGAGATAAACCAGAACCCTAGGTTCCCATCCTCGGCTGCGGCCGCGCTCGAAACCCACCCCTCTCTGCTCTGCCCTGACACCTAGCCAGCTCGTTCTAGACTCTTCTCTGACCCGGCTACCCAAGACTCCCCCACGCTACGCGTGTGCTCCGTGTGCGTTTGCCACACCATCCATCAGTTATCCTAAGTTGCATCATTCCTGAAGAATCTGGTCGCCTGCTCCCCGGGTGAAATGCTCCTTCTACATTTAAAACCCGGCACAAGGGAACCTCGACCCCCGAGCCGGGTTAGGGCTGCGACAGCACCCTGCCTGCTTCCCCAGGGGGGCACAGGGTCCCCTCAACCCGCACACACACACACACACACACACACACACACACACACACGCTCAAGTCCCTGCAGAGAGGTGGTCGGTGTGCTTGGGCCTGCACGGGAGCGAGCTCTAGGGTTGGCCCAGGACACGGGGAAAAGCCGTTTGATCATAAAGAACTAGTCGGACCACTCTCCCTGCTCCGAGCCCTATACATGCCCTGGGCGCGTGTGCACCCCCCTCACACACACACACACACACATACACACAGAGCCTTGGCTGCCTGCTCTGGGCAGTTCCTGTGCTTCTGCTCATTCCTCTCCGTGCCCCGGCCCTGGTGTCCCCCGGCTCTCCCCAGCCGGGCACGGAGCTCCAAGCAAGTGTGGCCACAGAGAGACAAGGAAGAAATGAAGGATGGAAGGAAATGAAACCAGGTTCCCCCCCCCCCCACCCCAGCCCCTCACTCCCAGCTGCCAACCGTCCTTCCGGGTCCCTGATCTCTCCAGAAGAGAAGCGAGAAGGAAAGACAGGGGGACACACGACCTGCCCCTCCTGCCCTGACACCACGGCCAGCACCGTGGGCTCCTCCGGTGCACCCCCCAGACAGCCCCTTCTCCGACCTCCCCCCCCCTCCTCAAAATCAACCCCTTGCAATTATACACCAGCGGCTGGGGCAAACTGCGTCCTGCAAGTATAGATCTTCACACCAGCGCTCCGACAGCCCTCGCGGAGGGTGGCAGGCAGGCAGGCAGGGGAAACCAGGGCTTGGAAGAGGACAAAATGACAACTGCAGGAGAGGACCTTGATCCAGCCAGGTTCCAACCTGGTGGCGGCACATTCTGTTTTATTTAAATGCAACCAGTGACTCTCGCTCTGGAGAGACTTCCACGGTGGAAAATCGAGGAGAAGTTCTCTGCCCTCCCTCCAAAAAGGCATTATTTCCTTCACACACCCCCCTTCTCCCCAGGCGAACCCCACTGTATTATCTAGTCCCCTCCCCTTGCCCCCCCCTCCAAATAATAATAAATCCACAAATTCTTACTAACGTATCGGCCGTAACAAAGGAGAGATGGCAAGACGCAAAAAAAAAAAAAAACACGTCTCCGAGCAGATGGTTCCTAGGCTGGGTATTCAGGGGAGGGGAGAACCCCCTTTTCCTATCTCGATATTTATTTATTTATTTAAATTTTTGTAAAATCTAACATACATATTCCGCTCTCGCCCGCCCGCCTGCCCGCCTGCCTGCCGGGGCAGCCAGTCCTGGCTGGCGGACGGAGGGACGGGCAGCGGGCAGGCGGGCGGGTGGGTGCAGAAGCGGCCGCTTAAGGCGCGCAGCAGCCCGGGCCCCAGCCCGAGGAGAGGAGGTGGCTCCTCGGGGCGCATTTTGCAGGCAACCCGGACCTGCCCGCCTGCCAGTCTCCATGGCACCCGGAGGATGTTTGCTTTCTCTTGCAATAATAAAATAAAATGAAAAACGTGGTTTTTTTTTTTTTAAGAAAAAGAGGCAAAGGAAGAGAGAAAGAGAGAGAAAGAGAGGACGGAAAAGCAGCTGCGACGCAGGCACAGAGAGAAAAGGACCGCGACGCGGGCGGGCAGGCGCGCGGAGCAGCATCGGCGGCAGCGGGGAGCGACCGTGCCCGGGCGGGCAGGCGGGCACCGTGGAGGCGGCCCCCGGCCCGGCCACCCACCCGCCGGCCCGTGCGCGCGCGCGCCTTTGCCCCTTTCTAAAGAAACCCCAGCCGGGCCCTGCGCCCGCCGGGCCACTTGCCGGGAACGCACAGGCTTGCAGCCGGCGGGCCCGGACGACCTGCCTTGTTTATTTAGCCACGGGAGCGGAGAGCGCCCGCGCGGCGGATGGGTAAGCCGGAGAGGTCTCTCTTTTCCCTTATTTTTTTTTTTTTTGCTCTCCCCTTGAACTATTTTGCAAGCACATCCCTCTCTCCTCCACTCCTCGCTGATCACCCCCTCCTTTATTTTTACTCTCCCCCCCCCACATCCCACCCCCGTTGGCGGGGATTTTTCACCAACCCCCAATCTCTCCCCCCCCACTTCCACCTTTTTTAAATTTATTTATTTTTTTATTTTGGAGTAGGGGGGGGTGGAAAAAGAAGAAGAGCTCATCCCAGGAGACAGACGGAGGTGGGGAGCTAGTTGGGGGGTGTGTGTGTGTGGGGGGGGTGCTTTGGACCCCGCAAGCAGCAGCCGCCGCGCAGCTGGATGGATTCTTCTGCAAACAGCGAGCAGCAGCGGAGAGAAAGGCGGCGGCGGCAGCGGGATGCCAGCACCGGCGTGGCCAGCGGGGACCACAGCGGCGGCGGCGGTGGTGCCCGGGGGGGAGCCCGCGGCCCCCCAGCGCGGAGCGCGCCCCGCGCCCCGCTCATCGCCGCCGCCCGCACCGCCCGCCCGCCCGCGCGCGGACCCACGCGCTCGCCAACTTTTCCCGACCGCCCCCTCCCCCTCGGCTCTCCCCCGGCCCCCTCCCCCTCCCCTGCTCTGCAAACCCCGCCGGCAGCGCCAGCCGCCGCCGCCGCCACACACACGCCGGAGTGTCCAGCCGGGCTCCGGGCGCGCACACGCCTCCCCCTGCTGCAGCCCGGCCGGCCGCGGCCAGCCAGGCCCCGCGACGCGCGCCCGCTCCCCGGGGCGGCACAGAAACTTTCCGGAGACCCCCACCACCACCACCACCACCACCCTTCCCACCTCTCGGCCTCCCCCTCCCCGCCGCACGCACCCCGACCCGGGCGCTGGACTCCCCCCACCCCCCACCCCCGGCCCGTGGCCGCCGCGATGCCCGGGCCGGCGGCGGCGGCTGCGCCCGCGCCCGCGCCCGCGCCCGGCTCGGTGTCCCCAGCCCCGGGCGCCCCGGAGCCCCGCGGCCGGCCGGCCCCTCGCGCGCACGCCGCACACACTTACGGGTGATGAGCTCCCTCTGGGACAAGTGCTGCGGGTTGCCCTGTTTGCGGCGGGACATTGCCCCGGCATCTATTCTGGCATCGCCCGGAGAGCTGCAGAGATGATGGGGGGAGCCGGGGGAGGGGGTCCGAGCCGCCGCCGCCGCCGCCGCCGCCGCCGCCGCCGCCGCCGCCGCGCCTCCTGCTAGCCCGGGTCGGCGTTTTGTTTTGGTTTTTTTTTTTCCCCTTCCTCTCGGGCCCTCTTTGCCTCTCCTCTTCTTTTTCTTTTTCTTCTTCTTCTTCTTCTTCTTCTTTTTCTTCTTCTTCTTTATTTTGCCGTTTCTCCTATGCTGGTTTTTGTTGTTTTGTTTTGTTTTGTTTGCAAAAAGAAAAAAAAGGAAAGGAAAAAAAAAAGGAGAGGAGAAGAATTAAAAACGCACCTCGATCTCAAAGAGGAGAAAGAGGTGGGGGTGAGCTGCTTCTGGTGCTGCTGGCCGCGGACTGGCTGGTTTCTTTTAAAAAAAAAAAAAATCTATTCTGGTGAAGGAAAAGAGGATCGCTTGCACTTCTTCCAACTGCTTGGCCTCCCGGACTTGTAAATGTCTTCTTGAACTTAAATTGGATTTTGCACCGGCTGCCGGCACTTTCAGGCTCTGCCCGGTGGAACGCGCGCTGCGAGCAACGGAGGGGAGTTGCGGAGGGGTGGGGGGGGGGGGGTAGGGGAAAAAAAATTGCAACCAATAAAAAAAAAATTATAATCAAAGAAAAGAAGCCAAAGAAAGGGGGGAGCAAAAAAAAAAAGCAAAGAAAACTTGGGGACTTGTCTCGTACCCCCTCACCCCGCCCCCTCAAAAAAAACCCAAAGCAATGCAAAAACTGCCGGGGCTGGCGAGGGGGGGGCAAGGTCTGAGCGTGGCCGTCGGCGGGCTTGTTTTCCTTTTTTTTTTTTCCTCCGAGACTGACCCTTCCGAGGCTCGGGGGGACTCCAGGAGCGGCTCCTTCCCAGTTCACCTGGCAGGCTGGCGCCGGCCGCAGCAGCGCCGGATCCGGCGAGCGCTCCCGGGCGCTCCCCTGGCGCCGCGGCCCGGGGGGAGCAGGGCGGCCCCGCGGCTCGCCCGTGCGCCCGGGTCGGAGCGGCGCGGGCTGGGAGCTATAGATTGCAACGTGAAGATGGCGGAGTCCGGGTTCTCCGGGAGCTCTCGGTCTCTCTATGGCTGGGGCTGCCTCTGTACAATGGGATAAAATTCAAGTTCAAGTGCGGACGTGACGTTTAATCTGCACTAGAGACAAAAAGACCCAGAGAGTCGGAGCACTGGGGGCGACTAGCGGTGGCTTTTTAACATTGTACCCGGCAAGAACAAGAAAGCGCGCACACACACACACACACACACACACACATACACACACGGTCGCACACACATACACATACACACACGCACACGCACACACACTCGCTGGCGCTCCCGCGCGCGCACACACGCGGCCACACGCGCCCCGGCGCACACCCGCAGTGCAGCCGGCCACACACGTGCGTGCTGGGTTCTGGGCGCTGCTGCTCCTGTCCCCGGGCACTGGCAGCGCCCAGGAGAGGGGTGGGGTGGGGGGAGCGCACGATATTTTTAAATCAAAGAAAATCCTCCTCCTCCCCCTCCTGGGAGCGGGACCCCCTGGAGAAGCGGGGTGGGGGTGGGGGGGGGGGCTGAGTGGTGCTGCAAGTAACTTAGCTGAAGTCCCTCTGCGCCCAGCGGAAGGCTCTGGGGGAGGGGGGTGGGGCTGGAGTTGACCAATTGCTTCAGCTCCCAGGAAAAGTAGCTTGTTTTTACTTTTCTGGCAGGGGGGTGGAGGGAGAGAGAGAGGGGAGCGGAGGTCGGATGCAAACTTCTCCCCCCCCCCCCAAACAAAAGCCGGTGTCCGGTGCAATCCTATTAGGAACTAATTCTGGGAGAGCCCAGTGGACAAAATGAGCGCGCGCAGATGACCAAGCGCACCTTTGGGGGACGCGCGGCACGTGAATGGGACCTCGCCTCGGCCCCCTTCCAGAAATGCACCATCCCCCCTCAAACCCTGGGCTGCCCCTGCCTCCTCTCCCACCTCCCACCCACAAACGTGCACCCACTCACTGACGCTGGGGTCCGTGGGCAGCGCCAAGGGCAGCGGCAGGCTTCGCCCCACGTGGAATGTGGGATTGGGACCAGCTGGGCCAGGGCCAGGTGTGGTCAGATCTCTTTAGTAACAAGTGTGGGGGGACCCTCCCCCCTCCTCCCGTCAGCGGCTTCCAGCTACCTGGGAGTTGCGCCCCCCCCCCCCCCCCCCGCCCCCTGCCCCTCGGCCCAGCTGGACTGGAAATTGCTGGTCAGGCTGGGCAGTTGTCTTTGTAGCCCTTTGATCTCCGGGGGTGGGGGGGGCAGCTGACTGAGGACCAGAGGAGTTGTGGGGGCCTGTCCGTGGCCCCAGGGCAAGGCCAGGCGGGTCAGAGCAGACCACCCCCGCGCACACCCGGCTGCAGCTGGGACCCAACGTGGGCTGCCCGACCGACACTCACCGGGGACCCTACTTCCTCCTCCAGGCTTCCAGGTCTGGCCGAGGCGGCCAGGGCGGGTCGGGGCCTGGCCCTGGGCTGGGTTTCCCGGGTGAGACCAGCTGCACCCACCCCGCCCCGCCCAGGGGCCTGGCTCCCGTGACTGTGCCCCAGCCCCCAGCCAGTGGCTGGGCCGAAGAGCCTGGGGCACGCGCCCGCCTCCCTGGGGGCTTTTTCCTGGGAGGGGGCGCCCCCCAGGGGCTTTTTGTTCCCCTGGGGTCTTGCGAGGCCGATGCACCCTCCACTTAGGTTAGGAGGAAAAGCGTCCCCATCTCCTTCCTTGCCTCCCCCAGCACCCCGCACCCCAATTAAGCAAATGTGTCCGAGCTTGCAAGATTTGTGCAAGGCCTGGCCGGTCACCCTGGAAGGGCGCGCGCACCGCACCAGGACGGAGCATGGTCCGCAGCCTGGAAGCTTCCCTCTCCTCCGTCCTGCCCACCGCGAAAACCTTTCCAGGAAAAAAAAAAAAAAGAGGCCCAAGTTTCAAAAAAAAAATTATTTTAAGCACCTTTAAACAACTTTTGAAGAATCCCCTTCGCCAGACAGACCCAGGTAGCCCGTCTTAAATTGGGGAGGGCTGCTGGCCTCTTCGCGGGAACTGGCGGGGTGAGGATGAGGAGGGTTCAGAGAAGGCTAGCAATTGAGGCCAGGTCACAGAGCGCGAGGCCAGGCCCGGGCTCCCGGTGTCCGCGGGCGCCAGACCCCACACGGACCCTCCCTCTCCATGGGCTGGTGACAACGGAGTGGGTCGGGTCTATGCTTTGGAGATGCCGGTGGACCTACCCACCTACCTGGCCGCCCCCACCTCTCCTGGAGAGGACCCGGGGTTCCAGAGGGCCAGGGAGGGGGCGGCCCGCAGGAAGCGGCGGGCAGGGCGGCGCTGGCCCACACTGACCGGGCAGCGCTTCCTCATTGGCCCCGCGCTGCCCCGACGGCGGGAAGGGGCCGCGCGCGCGCGGGCGGGCGGGCGCAGGGGCCGGACACGCCGCTGCTCGCCGCGCGCTCCACCCCGCGGCCGCCGGGGCCCAGGCCGCCCTGCCCTGCCCTGCCCGGCCCTGCCCGGCCCTGCCCGGCTCGGCCGCCGCGGGCCCCGCGCCCTCCTCCGCTCCCCGCGAGGCGGCGGTGCGCGCGGTCCCCGCGGCGGCGGCTCCAGGCTCCTCCTTCTCCCTCTGCCCGTCTGGCACGGGCCTCGCGAGCTCGGGAAGCTGCTAATGCCTGGTCTCACAGCTCCCCCTTTAGTCTTGCGGCGCACCGGCTCGCCTTCCCGCCGATCCCCGCCGCCCCTGCCCGCCGCCGCCGCCGCGACCGACCGCGACCCGCGACCCCCGGCAGGCCCACACCAACCCCGCATCCCTCGGGGCGCCCACGCGCGGGCAGGGAGGGGCGCGGGGCACGGTCCGACTCCACGGCTTCCTGGGGACCGGCGGGGTTCTGGGGAGGTCTGCTTGCACACGCACACATGCACACGCGCGCACACGCGCACCCAGCCACCCCACGCGCGCATCCACCGTGACTTTGTTTGGAAGGGGGAGGAGGACTTGTTTGTGGCGCTTTGCTGGTGGCAATTGAAATGGACCGTGCAGGGTGGGTGGTTCCGGAGCCGGAGGGCGACTGGGCCTGTGTCTGTCTCTCCAGATCCTGGGCAGGCCTCCTGAGCGTGCCCCCTTACCTGGGGCTTTGGAAGGACTGGAACCAAACGCCAAGAAAACGCCTCCCCCCCCCCCCCCCCAACACACACACACACACACAACTTTTTTTTTTGCACTCGCTTTCAGAAAAGGGAAAAAAGCAGCTGTTCCAACTGCTTTTTGAACCCACAAAGATTGGCCCGCAGTCTTCTTCACTGGTGACCAGCGGCGTGTTTGTGCAGATCCAAACCCCCCCACCCCCACCCCCACACCCACCCAATCTCTTCTGCCACTTTAAATTTCTCTGTGGAAGGAATATTCCGAGATCAGAAATCACGCCATCAAATCAGAGTATATTTTTATGAACCGTGTGCAGGTCTGTTTCCCGTGTTGCTGGTTTTTTTTTTGGGGGGGGGGGGGTGTTAGATGAAACAGATGCAACTCCGAGCCCTGGCTTCGCATTTAAAATTCTTTGAACCATTCTCACTAATTAGCTTTCCCTGACGTGGGGCGGGGCTCTGCTCCCGATCGGACCACGTTCATTTTGCTCTCGGAACTGTTATATTTTCTTTTCCATCCTATCAAAAATTTAGAAAGGATCAAGACGAGCAAGAGTCCCTGGAAATGGGGGTGATCTGGCAGTTTTGCCACTGGGAGGAAATTGGAGGTTTCATTTGTTCTTGCTGCCTGCTCTGGTCGTCAGCCCAGGGAGAGGTTTCTCCATGCGGATTCACTGTCTTGCGTCCCTGCTCTGAAACTTCACGGCCACAGGAAAACTCAAGCACCCATCTTCCCAAAGGAAACCCGGCTTTCGTTTCTAAGTGCTAAAAAAAAAAAAATACTAGTAATCATAATTGGTGCCCGAAGAAGCAAATGGATGTTCACAGGTGAGGGCAAATCAAGAAGCTAACTGTGCCGGCCATCTCTCTCCCGTTTTTATAATTAGGCTCATAAACACAATTGCCTGTGATGTGAAGAATAACGCAACGCTTGTGGATTGGCTTGTCCTAACTTTCAAGGGAGTCCAAGCAAATTACATCTGTGCGCATATTAATCAGACACCCAAGATGGTC